GTATCCCAAATTGACCAGGTGGGTCCATCCAGAAGGAATATGCAGTATTTCTAAGCGCCTTTCAGCTCAGGGTATGAGACAAACCAGAGAACCGAGCACAAGTGCATGAGTTGTGTGAGGAACACTGATAAAATGGTACAAATGCAAGCAAAAAGAAAAAAAAACCCAGCAAGAGCCAAGTTAAATAAATCTTTTTGTAGCTGTTACTCTTTGGTATACAGACAATTGCTATATATATATTAGCATAAATAATGGTTTTTTTTCAGGAACTCATGTTGGAATTGCATAACTACCTATATGTTATTTTACCATCACCTATATGTTACCGTTAGAAGTTATGGTATGTTCTCTCTTCTATTATCAGGCCAAGGTACTTCCACGGGGAAATTTTTTGTAGCACGAACCAGCACAGGGACCACAAAAAGCCATTTTGAAACACACTCAAACCACAGCTTCCCATACAAGGTAGATTCACTGCTACATTGGTACATGGTTAGCTGATGATAATATTTCATTGCACAGCTTATTAGTTGCCCATCTACCTACCAGAACTATGTGGTCCAAACAGAAGTTTAATGAATAACACTGTAAAGACACCACCCATTTGGATTAGTTACTTAGAAAATAAGGACTTACTCATTGGTAATTTATAAAGCAAATAGCAAAACTGATTTTTTTAAAAATTGCAATAAGGAGTATGAATGAATGGCTTTACCAATATCACTTCTGTAAAGATAACCTGTGCAGAAATGTAAGATACAGAATGATAGATAAGCTTTTAAGGCTTTTATTTGCTAGATAATTGATCACTGAAGTAAGCTACATTTCAGATCTTTCTTGGGCCCTATGCATTTCAGTGTATACATATGATTTTACAGAGAATTACATGTTGTAAATCACATTCAGAGCTAACTCTGATAATAAAAATTGAGGAACCCTTTTTTAGGCAGTCAAAGATAAAAATGCTTTTCAAGGAAAAGTTAGTTAGCTAGTTGGTGTGCAAGGGAAAACTCAAGCAAAATAAATATAGGAATATAGTAACCCAAACAGTGCTCAGATATTCTGGCCTTTGTATGAATTATTTGTATTTGCTCTCCTTGCTCCTAACACCAGTCATTAAACAAATAAAAAATGCAGTCATAAAATTAAAATTGAAGATGAGGCCTTATCTGGAGACCTGAGACTTGGAAAGGAGAAACAAGGTACGTGGCTCTCTGCCAGATGACAAGCAGGCAAGCATCATTCCATTAGGAAGGATGTAATGTCACTTAGAGTGGTGCTGGCTGTGGATCCCCGGCAGCTGCGCTGGACTGTTCGCTCGCTTGGGTACTGCTTCTGATCAGGAGGGGTTTATAGGCTGGCTGGAGCAGACTTTATATCTCAGATATTCGTAGAACCATAGAATGATTTGGATTGGAAGGGACCTTAAAGAGCATCTAGTTCCGCCCCCTCCACCATGGGCAGGGCCACCTTCCACTGGACTGGTTGCTCAAAGCCCTATCCAGCCTGGCCTGGAACACTTCCAGGGATGGGGCATCCACAGCTTCTCTGGGCAACCTGTTCCAGTGCTTTCCCACCCTCACAGTAAAGAATCTCCTCCTAATGTCTAATCTAAACCGACACTCTTTCAGTTTAAAGTCATTTCCTCTTGCCCCATCACCATAGACCCTTGTAAAAAATTCCTCTCCAGCTCTCTTGTATTGCCACTTTCTGTTCTGTACAAGAACATTGTAGCCTGTTATTGGTAATGATAAAACCCCTCCAAAGAGGCAGTCCTTTTACTCTCCCTCCTCATTTGCTTCAGTCAGGAACTACCTTCTGTGTGCAACAGCCGGTTCTGGACTAATCTGCTGCTGCTAAAAAAATTCACTCCTTTTCAGCTGCCCAGCAAAGCCAAGCATGGCAGAGCCCTGCTGCTTCCTATGGAGAGAAGGACTTGGGGTCAGGGCTCTTGCTTTAAGGAGCAATGAGCATGGCAAGGTGTGGGGAAGGTTGTGCAAAGCTCAGATGACCCCCAACCCATGACACCGAGCTGCCACCCTGGTCCCGGGGACTGTCAACACCATCAGCTGTCCTCTCCCCACTGCCCTCCAGTCAGGGAACTGGGACAGTTTGGGTCCTGGATCCTCTTAGAAGACCTACTTTACATATCATAAACATCGTGTTCCTCTAAAGAGATATGTAGTAAGATATCAAAAGATACTTCTGTTCACTGTGCTTCTGCTGATAAAATAACTACTGTAATTGAAATCTGCATTTAATAAAAGTTCTCATGCATGGGGACTTCAGCAGCCTACTTTGTTTGAACTCTCTAGTCTTTATAGTCACTTTTTTCTTACTAATCTCTTATCTCTGTTGCATTCTACTAACAATATGGGAACTGATGGTTAGCCAAGAAATACCTTTTATATTCTGTTCTCTGGTTTAAATGACATTTGGAATTTGGGACTCAGCATCACCAAGTCATCTGGATTTTCTCCTGTGTGGTTTAATATTGCCCTGAAAATATTGAAACTTATTCTGTACTACAGGGCACTTTGAGACACAATGAGTGATCAAAGAGCTCCTCATAGGAGAACGAATTATCAGCTATCGGTGACTCAGGGATGCTGCCTCTACTTAGGTTGCTACTCCATGGCACATGTAAAAGAAGGTAATTTGCCTTTGGTGTGCCTTGGGACAAAAGCAGGTGCAGGGACGATTGCTGCAGAGCAGCAGAAGCATTGTGATGTACTTGTTGCACAATGACATGTCAAATCACTGAAATCTAGTCCAGTTCATTTCTATTTTAAGGATATCATATAGGGAGTGGGCTGGCAATTTGACTTGATGTTTGTGTTGCAGGATCTACTTTCTAAGGCTTAGACAGAGATACCAGCTGTGTTGTGAGGCATTTTATCCTTGTATCTCAAAGGGTTTTAGAGGAAAAATAATAGGATCTTTCACTGCCTTAAACTTACTTACAGTAAGCAATTAATGTCTAGAGGATGTCATAGAGAAACTAGATGAGACAGTGATTTAAGTTTATATTTCTTTTACTAATTGGTCTGTGTAATGGAAAACCTCAGAAAGTAAGATCACTGAGCAAACTGGGTAGCAAAACTCCAATAAAGCTCTGATTGATTCTTCTGGTCTTGTGAGAATCGACTGACCAGCAGAATTGGTCACTCTTCAATTTCCCCTCATCTTCTGCTTCCTTAATAAGTATTTTGAATATGTGGGTTAAAAAATTTAGAATATTGAAAGTGCAAGTTAGACAGTGTTGAACTATACATTCATCGAAGGTCTGATGCCTTACAATGTACCAGCTAGTGGAATTCCATTAAAAATATAGATATATATATAAATGGAAACTTCTATAGTTCAAATCATCTTATTGTAATGCCACTTTGCGTCAAGTGTTCCTTGTTTCTGACCTCATTAGGTGTGTCTCGTCACTAGATAGAGTGTTACTAAAGAGTTTTAACTTAAAAGCTGCTTTGATTAATGCTTGGTTGGACTGAGGATTTATTGTGTAGGATTAACTAGATTTAAAGATGGCAAAATGCCATAGTAACCTTAATACCAGACTTTAATGAGAAGCAGAGGTAAACTCCAAGGACCTTTATGATTTTTAATATGGACTAAACTCATGAGCCTATTACCTTAATGTCCTGTCCTATTTTATATACAAGTATTCCAATAATTCCTATAGAATAGTAGCCTAGTCAGTGTATTATGTATATATACATATATAGCTGAAGTATACAAGCCTATATTTTCAATGAATCATAAATTTTGATAATTTTAGAATGAGATTTATTCAGTGTTATTATGAAATAGAGAAAAACTCTTGTAGCTGATCTGAGTCTTTTAAATTAAGAAATAATATGAAAATATGACAAAGCTGGATTGGCAAACGTTTGTTCCGTTTAGCAGTGTACTGACAATGTAGATGAAAAATGTATTTTCACATTTTTATGTAACCTGCTAATTGAATTTCCTTTTACTGTCTTGTTAAATTCATTTGGTGCTCCTGAAAGTTTACAAAGTTGTCACTTCTAGAGTTTAATAACCTTATTTTTTTACCATTGATCACATATTTTAGTATATGATACTGCCAAGAAAACCCAGACCATTCTCACACCTGACAGTATTTGGCCGTCTCCTTAAATCCTACTAGACTTGATAGGATTTAAGCATATACTTAAAAGGTAATGCATTGCCCAATGAGGGCCTTTGTATCTGACGTTTTTTCAGTCCATGATATCTTTGCTGAGATAACTGAAGGGCACTGATTTATTATTAGAGCTGAAGAGGAAAAACTTCCCCATTCAAGGAGCTTGAGAATTTTTTTCCTGAATTGATCCTGATTTCCTGAATTTGGTTATTTTTCAGTGAATTTCCAATAGTAAGAAGTATAAAGTGTAATTTTCGTTTCTGCCCAGTAATATACTGTGAGAATTAGACACAGTGTACTAATAAGCAGTAATAACAGTTCTTCACAGAGGTGGTAATGTTTCTGCCAAAGCATGTCAGATGGCATCCAACCAAATACTTGGGCTGTAATGCCTGATTTCTCGTTGAAATCACAGATATATTGGACATGACTTAAATAGGATTACTCACTCAAGCAAATTTACGCAAGGGTCTAAGGCATATATCCAGTTTCCAGTGAGTTAGGAGTCTACATACTCATTTGGCTCTGAGCCTTAGGCACTTGCATAACGTTGCTTGTGCGACCTGCCCTGCCAAAAACAAAACCTGCATCAACATGGTTACTCATACCAGCAAAATTGTGCCTGTGGACAAGTGATGACAGTCAGGGATCCTTTTTTATCACACTGAAAACTTGTGTTTTCACTGAGATTGAAGCTCATTAGCCAGCATTACCTTTGCAGTCCCTATTGATAATTTCTGTAAGAATGAGCTGCTTTTGTTGTTTTGTTTTTTTTTCTAATTTCTGTATTCTTTACTCAACTCATTGTTATGATTTGTTTTTCTTTTTTTTTTTTTTCCAGGGAGAAAGCCAGCAAAAACAAAGGACAAAAAAAAGAAGAAAAAGAACTTGATGGAAAGGGCTCAGAAGCAGCACAGCATCTTTTTAGCGACAGATAAAACAAGCCAGTAAAGACTTGATTTTCTTTAATATATTTTTTTTGCAAAGTGCACAAAAGCTGCTATATGCTCCTGCCCATGGATGCACTACAGTTCAGCTGCTTTGACAGTATTGGTGGCAAATAACTTGTGAAAATAAAGCCCACAAGCTTGTTTGTTTTATTTATATATTTTTTTATTTTATTTTTTTCCTATCATTTTTGACCTGAAGACTTCAAGGTCGGAGCACACTGAGTTGAATCAGTGGAAGTGGTCCTGAAGTGCATCAGAGATAACGTTCTGAGTGCTTGGTCAACATGATGACCAGGAAAGAAATCTACGTAGCACCATTAGGCGGACTTGTGCATATTTAAATAAATAAAAAAAGGAAGTCTTGGAGGTGTAGGTACTATTGCATTTATGGCCTTTGTTTCCTATATTTGTACATTTCAAGAGTAAATGAATATGACTTACCTACTTAGTGTTAATGTACATTGTTCTCAGCACCTGTTACATCAAAACAGTTGTATAATAAAACTGCTTTAAGACAATACGCCACAGGATTCACTGCTTAGACTTACAGAAGCACAGCAGACTATGTGTACATACTACTCTGTCTACATATAAATGAACATATTTACTGTACATCTATGCATCTTTCTGTATAATACTTTATATGTGTTTAAAAGTATGTCCTGTTGGTTCTAGTAATATACTTTAATCCAGTAAATGTTTACTTTTTACTATGTTTTAAGTATCTTCTCATATTCCTCAAGACTTACAAACTGGATTTTTTTTCTCATTTGCAAAGGACACTCATTTACAAAACTACCTTGCACTGACCCTCACAATGGAGTGTCAGCTCTGAAGTATACTTGCCAGACTAGTCCACAAATATTTTATGCTATTCTGTACTCCTATCTCAGCCCTCATGTATTTTGTCTCAGAAGAAGAAGTGTAATGTTTTTTAAGATGAGGCACAATGATGATAGATATTTTGAGTGTCAGGACAGAAATTATATGTAAAGTTCTTGGTATCTAAGATTGTATGTGTAGTTTGTTGATTTTTTTTAAAATATAATGCAGTGTTTTATTTCAGTTAGTCCTGATGCAGTCAGATACAGAAAATAAATACCTGAATAGGGTATTTACATGAAAAAGTTGCATGAGGTCAACACTGTCCCCCTATTGCCAGTTATTTGCAGAAGTTTAGCAAATTTAATCTGCAGCTGGTGTTTGCTTTGGGTTTTTTGGGGGGGATGGGGAGTGGAGACAATTTTCTGTGTAGGACGTTAAAATGGCTCAGGATGTGTAATTTGGTAATCTAGCATTATTGGACTATCATTCAAGGAGATTTTTGGATACCTGCTGGGAAAAGCTCACACTAAAATGGCTGTCATTTAAGATGTCTGAGAATAATTAGAGAAATTATTTCAGTTCTAGGACTAAAACTTGTATATGACCTACACAAAAAATGAAAAAGCAAAATAGACTCCAGACCTTCACAAACCTCATTTTGACGTATACTTTAGAAAAATCCCACAAATAGCAGTTTTAGTTTTATGGACTATATGCTTTTCAAATAAACTAAGGAAATAAAGCATCTATAAGCACAAATGTATCAGTATTTAGCTATGACAAGTGTTGCTACCGAAACGTGCAGTAGTTAGACACATATGAATGTTCCATAAACTGCTTGTGGACTTCCACTTAACTGTGAGATTTTCACTATATGTTCATATTTACCTAGAGCACAATGATGTTATGGACAGTAAGATTGTTCTGATCCTGGGCTGCTATTTTGGACATAAAATGTTCACTTCAAAAAAAATATTAAAAGACAATAGGAACTGTAGCTGCCTGTTTGCTTATTGGTTATCAAATTTGGCTCTAAGTGCAGTGAATGCCCTCATACAAGCCTTTCAATAGATGTTACAAATATTGTATTAGGCATGTCATGGAAAGAATGCTACAAAATACAATAAAATGATGTCACAAGCTTCTGAGTAAAATATTTATGGTCCTTTTTAATTCAAATAGTGTATTCCTTTGGAATTGTGTACACATAGAAGAATTGGAGAAGGTGTGTGGATGCAGATTTTCTCCAACTGGGGTAAAAAAATATGAGGGTTTTCCAAACAACTATTTTGTTGATACTTAGGTTTGAAAAAACACTGAGTGTTAGATATACATTGATTTCTGCTGTCCCAGTCACCTTCACATTCAGAGTTTCCTTGAGAGTGTAGGTACAAGAAAGTCATCCCTAGGTAGCAGGTGCCCTTGTGTCTAGTTCCTTTTTTGTCCTGGGCATCCTGCCGTTGCCTGGTGGACCCTATCAATGTATTCATAGCACTGGGGTTTTTGTAGGATCATACTTCTGAGGTTAGAACGGACTGTCACTTGGACTTTAGGAAAAGGGTTTTCACTGAAGAGGATGTTTGGTCACAGGCTCCTTGGGGAAGTGGTCATGGCATGAAGCCTGTCAGAGTTCAAGCAGTGTCTGAACAATGCTCTTAGTAATATGGTTTAGTTTTAGGTAGTCCTGTAAGGAGCAGGGAGTTGGACGCAATGATCCTTATGTGTCTTTTCCATCTTGAGATACTCTATGGTTCAATGAATCGATGACCTTGAGAGATCATCTAGTCCAAATCTCTGCTTGAAACAGTGATAACCTTGAAGTTATCTTCAAACAGATACTATTTCTTGATAAAGAAGATAAGGTTTAAAGCCGGATAACATTAAAATAGCCTGTGCCCACTCTGCCTGTTATTTTCTTTAAATTTTATCAGAAGCAAGCTTGTAAAGATCTTAGTTCTCTTCTGGTAAGCAACTGTCCAGGTACAGATGCCACCTTTTTCCCCTTTCAGAGCTGTTACTGCTTTTTGAATCTGTTTCTCTCAAACAGCAGAGGGATTCACAGCAGTGGAACTTCTGCATTCACAAGGCTTTTATGCCCCTAGTTTAATGCTTAGCTATTGGAAGTCTATTTAAAACTACAAAAGATTCAAATCAGTAGGATAAAGGACATATATATGCTGTAGTCATTGGTTTTAAAAAGGCGTTGCATTGCTATGATGAGCAGAAAGTGCTTTTTCAAAAGCATACCTTATTTTATATCTTATTCACCTGTCCCAGAAGAGACAATTTCATACCACACTGTGTATTTAGGATCTCTCTACTCTCAGTTTGACTTATATGTGCCTCTTTAAATTAAAAAACAAAACAAACAAAAAAAAGAAGAAAAGAAAACCAACCCCAGGTGCAGAATTAATGCAATTATTTTGTGGCTGACTGGTCTTTATTGCACTTCAGCTGTTCTTGCCAGTGAGAAATTTTTGTTATATGTTTCTTTTCTTATTCTTGGGAGGGGGAAATGTTGCATTCCACATCATGGTAATGCAAACCTTCCATATTACAAGTGTCAGTATAAGGAAATTGTTCTTCTCTTACACCTATATGCTCAATATGAAGGAAGAGTGAATACTTGTAGAATTTACATGATGTCTCCATTTATCAGTATGAGTTTTTGTTACAGAAAAAAAAATATATTTTCATCTGAGTCAGCTAAAACCAAACCAAAAATCGATTAGATGCCATGCTAACTCTTCAATATTTTTAAGAAAATAAAAATATTTGTAAAATCTTGATTGAAAGCTTATAAAATGAGAAGATAGATCTTTCCCAGACAGATTAAGATCAAATTCAGTGATTCAACTTTGTTATACTGATGAAATAGAATATAGAATAAAAATAACTGGATATTACTGGCACAAGTGCCATGCTTTTTTAAGTGGGTAATGCCACTGAAGGCTGATGCTACCACTTACCAGAAGGTATGAGTTTTTTAATTCAAACTGCACATCTCTCTCTCTTCACCAACAAAATATATTTGTCTTTTGACACCAGTTCACTTTCACTTCCAGTGGTGTAACCCAGCATGAATTCCAGTAGGCTCTAGACTGATGTTATTTTGGACTGAAACCAAGAAGAACAAAATGTACCCTTCTGAAAGTGTAACACACAAACCACTGTCGACTTTTTGTTTAGTTCTTTACTTAAAGCTCTGTGCTGAACCTGGCATTATTTCTTTAATGAGAAGGCTCTTTCCAGGACTGAGGAAAGGACATTATCTTTAGGAAGTAGTATAGCAGCCTGATCTGCAATAAAGCCAGGAGAAAGGCAGCCCAGAGTTCGAAGTGCAGTTCCTCTCAGGAGTGAAAAACGCTATAAGAAAAATATGACTAGAGAGAGCATCTGAAGTGAAACCAGCTTGTAGCCAATTGCCTAACTCTTCTGGACTTCAGCTGGTTTTTTTAATTGCAAATTAGTTCTGTTTATGTCTAATGAACATATGTCTTCAACCCCAGTGAAGCTGTATACTTACTTAAATGGCCAGTAATGTATCTGTGGTGGTGCCAGCTGCGAAAGTGCTGCCCAGCCTCCTTGTTTTCAAATGTATCTTCAGTGACACTCATGTAATCTGATGATTTTAACTGGGCAATGCTGTTGAAACTAACTAATAGTTCATAGACTGCAAATGAACAGACACTGAAAATGGGGCTGTTTTGTTTTTCCCTGTCACTTTGCAAAATAGAAATTCAGCTCAAGAAAGCAAACAGTGGCAGTTAGAAGATATATCTTGGCTTGCAACTATTTCATAGCTTCTCCTCAGAATTTAAGGCGGCTTTATGAGAAAAAGAAGAGTTAGGAGGGGTTTGTTGGTTTTGGTTTTGGATTTTCCCTGAAGCCTCTTTTTTTATCAGGTACTTCAGTGAGAGATTACGTTTGCTTTCTGAGTGGACTTGGTTGTCATTTATAGAAACTAAGGCCCACAACTGCAAGGGGGCTCCTCATCTTTGCTCCAGAATTGTCTTTTATTTAGTTGTAGTCTAGTAGTAGGTACATGAAAAATCTCTGGGGCATGGAATGCAGCCACGGTATTTCTTGTCGTGGTTTGGTACTCTCCTTTTGGCCTCGTTCCTTGTTGTGCTGTAGCCTGGCTTCAGCAGGAGCAGTGAACAGTATTTCTACCATAAATGTCTTCTAGTCTGAATATTCTCTTGGCTAGGGCATGTGGTTTCTAACTCTAAGGCTGACTCTAGTAATTTATTTTGTGGTCAGATATTTTCTCTCTAGAGAAAGTTAAAGAGAAGTTCAAGGACTAAAGGTACATAAACAGATGATGAGAGGAATAAGCAAGTATGTATCCTCTCACAGCCATAATCTAAAACAGGAATAGGTAAGTGTATAGATAAATATAATGACCATCCCCGATCCAGTGATTGCAGATGCTGAGGGCATATGATATGAATGAACAGCAGATGATGGCTCATTCCTTACACAATATTGCCCATTGCCACTATTGAATGAAGAATATTAAGCTATTGGTTTGCCCTATTAGAGTATCTTTTTTAGGCTTTTATGTAAAGGTATGTAGTGTTTGTTGCTATACTAAGAGAGTTTAGATACCAGTGTTTCTGCCTATTTTTTTTTCTTCATAATGAATTCATAAATTCAAATCAGTTCAATCGCAGTTCAATGCAATTGTTCA